TTGATGTATTTGAATGATCTCTTACAGAAACTTTAAGTAGCTCTTTTAAAGTCAAATACAAGATGCTTAGTTTTCTTTGCAAGATAATTTTTTTCTCACTATGATATTAATCTCTAACTTTTGTCTGTAGAACCTGATTCTGAAAATCCGGAGCCTACTTCTGAATGTCCATCCCCAGATACTTCACAGAAGACGTGCAAGAGTCCTTCAAAAGCAAGCAAGGTAATGCACTGCGTATGCAGGTGCATGTAACCATGTGTACGTGTCTCCAGTTGGCATCGTGCTTTACTACTTAGATGAAGATGTGTGACATTTCTGTTAAATTACATAACATGGGTAAACATCTGTGAGCACATTTGCAGACCTTCCAGCATGCTAAAAAGTTTGTCTTCCTCCAGTAGCCATATCTGCTTCTCTGTGGTGTGTTCTGTAGGCACAGAAGAGGTTTTGTCAGTGGATTCAGTATTGTGTCAGTTCTGCAGGTGAAATGCTGAAGAACTGACAGCAGTAAAATGGCTGAAGTAATCCTGTTAGCAGGAGCTGGCTCTTGCCAGGCCAGCACTAGCACTGCTTCTCAGTAGAGGCAGTGAGACATGAAGAAAGCCACTGAGGAGTGGCGTGCATTATGAAATGCAGCAATTCAGGTTGTAATGACCAGTCTCTTTGCTTGCATCTTGCCAGTTCTAGGATGTTAAATTACTCTGAAAAATACTTCGTTTTAGTAGTAATGATTCCTTTCAGACTTGGAAATATGAAGCTCACAAATAACAGATTCTGACTTAGCCCCGACAGGCCGTATTTCTGTTACTACTTCCAGATGCACTTGCTGGTCTTTGATTTTGGAGTACAATTGGTATGTACTTGCTAGAAATGATGCCTGTGCTAAGTTTAAGCTTCCTCCTCTTATAGGTTGTCATATGTCAAATGCATTCTATGCCTTAATGTTTTTCTGCCATCATAAGAGAGCGCTATTCCGAGAAGCTGCTTCTTGTTTTAATGCTTTCATAACTAAAATGTTCTGAACGTTTTGCCCTGACTCTTTTTCTAGCCCTCTTCGCCGAGTCCTGCAGTTTCAGCGCCATCACTGGGAAAAACACCCACGAAGCCAGATTCACACTGGGACACTGCAGCTAATGCACCAGAGGCCGAAGGCGTGAATCATCCAAAATCAGAGCTGCAACAAAAACAGCTGACAAATAACGTCCAAGCACTTTCAAAAACTCATCCATCTCAATCACATCTGCGCAGTTCTGCTGAGCAACTTTCACATTCACAGAAGTTGCCTTCTGCACCTTTGAAGCTCCATTGTCCCCCTTCGCCTCACGTAGAAAATCCCCCAAAGCCATCGACGCCCCACGCGCCCGTGCAGCACGGTTATCTCTCACCAAAGCCTCACTCGCAGCAGTTGGGATCTCCGTACAGACCTCATCACCCACAGTCACCTCAAGTCGGAACGCCCCAGAGGGAAACGCACCGTGGTTTCTATCCCGCAGCGCCAACCCTTCAGCCCAGTAATCAGCAGCAGGCCAGCGGGCCGCTGTTCGCTCAGACAGCTTCAGGACAATCCTCGGCTTCTTACGGCCAGTTCAACCAACAGAATCTGAACAGCAATGCACCACCTCCCCCACCTCCTCCACCCCCTTCTTCCACCTACTATCAGAACCAGCAGCCCTCTGGAAACTTTCAGAGTTACAGTCAGCTGAAGGGTAGCATCCCCCAACAGACTGTGTTTTCATCCGGACCAAATCAAGCACTTCCCGGCTCTGCGGGTCAGCAGACAGTGCCGGGACACCACGTAACCGCAGGGCATTTCTTGCCCTCTCAGACCCCCAGTATTCATCACCAGGCTTCAGCGTCTGCTGCTCCTCCTCCTCCTCCGCCGCCCCCGGCTCCGGGCCCTCACCTGGTTCAGCAGCAGGGCACCCATCAGCAGCATTCTGTAGCACACGTCGTCGGCCCGGTTCACGCTGTGGCGGTGGCTCCCGGATCTCACATTCACTCTCAAGCTGCCGGTCACCATCTGCCGCCCCCGCCTCCGCCGCCGGGCCCCATTCCCCACCACCAGCCTCCTCATCCTCCAGCCGGACACCAAGGTTTGCAAGCACAACACCAGCACGTTGTAAACTCTGCTCCTCCTCCCCCTCCGCCTCCCCCTTCCAATGTCATAGGCTCAGGGCACCACCCGGCGTCGGCACAAGGCTTGCACCACCCGTCGCATCAAGGACCCCCCCACTTTCCCTCAGGCGCTCACACGAGCGTGTCCTCCTATTCCTCGCAAGCCCCCCACCACACCACGTTAGGACCCGGACCTCAACATCAGCCTGCTGGAACAGGGCCTCACTGTCCGCTCCCCGGTCAGGGTCCCCACATCCAACCTCAAGGACCAAACAGTATTGCGACCCCCACCGCTTCAGGGTTCTGCCCGCACCCTGGCTCAGTCACGCTCCCGCACGCAGTGCAAGGACCGCAGCAGGCGTCCCCGGTGCCCGGACAGATCCCCATTCACAGAGCACAGGTGCCGCCCACCTTTCAGAACAATTACCATGGTTCAGGGTGGCACTAAAACGGATCCCCTTAATCCTAACATTTTTAAATGTGCTGTAATATAAACTGTGTATATTTCATATGTACCTATGGGAGGTACTTTTTAAAGCTTGTACATGATACTTTGTATAAAAGCAAACACCAGTGCTCTCTCATTGTATCTTTCCATTTTTTGCTTTTTAAAATTCCCAGAAACGTGCTGTTCAGCCAGTATTAGGTATTCCTTTTTATTTTGTAAGTGAACATTCCAGCTGTTTTTTCTGGCAGTAGGTTTGATGCTGCATAATCTTTAAAGTTTTATCGTTGCAGTTAAATTCATTTAGTGAATGTTTTCTATATTACTTTTATACATATGTAATTAAATAAGTACACAGGCTAAGTGATGGCACTAACAACTTTTTTTTTTTTCCATTTTCTTCTGTCGACAGTTTTGTGTGCATAGAGATAGAAAACAATGCAATACAAATTTTTATAGTTTTGGTGTGGACATGGCTTTTTGTTTCATCAGTTATTTGCAGAAAATGTAATTTAATGTATAGACCGTTTCTAATGTCTGAGTGCTGTAAATACTGTATTTCTTTTGCTTGTAAAATTGCTTAAAGCTGCTTTCATTTGATAGAGTATTGTATATAATAAGTCTCTTTTGCAAAAAAAAAAAAAAGTGTGATCTTTGTGAAAGTAGTACAGTATATGATCTTTAATTTTTTTTAATATACTGTCACATTGCAGCACTGGTTGGGCATTTTAATTCATGTTAATAAATCACAATTATGTCAGTTTTAACCACTTGTCCGGAAGGGGTGCTGTGTGTTGAGGGCTGTGGGCACGGAGAGCAGCCCTGCCTGCTGAGTGGCTGTTCCTCCTGTGTGGTGTCTGCTGATGGCCTTCCTGTCATTGCACAGCTGGCTATAGAAGTGAGTGCAGGAGGGGGACTTTTGTTCCCTTGCTGAGCTTAGAGGTGAGGAAGCATTGTTTTGATTCAGGCAGGGTGTGCTGTCAGGTAATGCTGGGTACATCTATGAAGTATGTCAGTTTATTTGGTGTTAACCCATGCATACCAACGTGTCTAACGGATGCCGGCACCATGGTGCAGCAGGGCTCTATTAGATGTTCTGGTCTTAGGTACAAATCACAGCACCGGCTGCACAGGTCAGTATGTGCCTTCCTGCTGCTGCTGGAGCTCTTACTGCAGTATGGTGGGAGTGAGGCATTACAGCGTGACTGTGGTGTATGAGAGCGTCCTGCAGCTCAGCAGTGAGTGCTGAATTCTGCTCACGTAACAGAACAAATGCTTGCTGGCTCTCTTTCAGAACCGAGAGAAGAAAACCAGCGTGCACCTTCCTCTGCTCTGGCTGCTGGAAAACCTGCCACTGGACAGGATGGGAAATGACAATTGCTGCTCTCTGAGAAAAAGTGGTAATTCTTAGCATACAGACACTATTGGGTTTACTTACAATTATCTGCTCATAATTATCAGAAAAGTACTTTCTGTTCCTTCCCTGAACAGGCATTGGCTCTGCAAAACACACAGACGTGATACGGAACACGCTGTGTTCTGTGCGGTCGTGCAGTAGAAGCAAATTGCCCAGCTACCAACCAGTGCAGCAGAAAAAAGAAAAAACCTAACACACTCCTGAGAAATCATGGCCACAGTTCACAGCTGGTTAACCAGAGCCACCTCCATCTATGACCTAATAACTGTTAGCACTTTGCATTGCAGTTACCGTGCGAGCAGGTGCAGCAGAACAGGCCCAGCATTGGCTCTCTCTCCCCCTACGGTTGGTTCTGTCGCAGTGGTCAACCAAATGGAAAGGAGTGCAGCGGCGGTGAGTCCCTCATTCGACTGGCATTTAAACTGATGCAAATGCTGCTATTCTCTGTGTATTTAAGAACAGCCCTGAAATCAGTTGCAGCATCCAGACACAACCAACGGCATGGCCAAGTGTGAAGCGTAACGCTTTACCTCTCTGGATTCCTTTGTAGCCTTTTGTTTCTTCTCATCAGTGTCATCCTTGAGGCCTTTAAAAACGGTTCCTGCGAGAAGAGGGAAGCAGAAGGCAGAGGGACCCGGTGCTGACACCCCGTTGGTGCAGGGCTGCAGCACAGGATAAGTTTCTGCACCGTAGTCTTGGCGGCGTGCTCCTTGGCAGCAGGGTCTCTTTTTGGATGAGGTGTGTAGGGGTGTAGGGAGGGGGTAAGCAGCTGCTTGCTTACATCAAGTTAAAACACCTTGAGTGAAACACGGCTCAGTTTGGTCTCATTTCATTTAGCACCCCACGACTGCAGCCCATCCTGCCCCGTTTCCCTGCGGAAGGATCGGATTTACCCCATGCGATGTTGGTTACGTGAACAGAGAGCTGTGCTTCAGCCTGGGTCACCCCCACCCACCGCCAGCACGGCGCGTCATTCTAGCCAACAGTGGCTTAGGGCTATCAAAGATGCCAATGACAGCACACTGAAAAAACAAAACACTTTAATTAGACAACTGCAAGCACCTCAAACAACTGGTTATTGTTACAGCATGGGGCTATTTTCTCACAATCTAGTTATTGCAAAGGCATGTGAATAAATTTCATATGGACAAAATCAGTAAAAAGTGGCACCATAGTTACATGAAAATCAGAACTAAGCTTACATTCATCCCACTGACTTCTAAAAGAGGCCAACACACCTCCGTATCGTACATTCTAAAATCTGTATTGCCTATAAGCCTCAGTCTATGTAGCTTTTTTCCTAGGAAAGCGTAGTTTTGCGTGCAACGTACAAAGAGCTGTATGTCTAGTTATGGGAAAAATAAAGCTAGTGCAATTTGTTTTAGAAACATGTAAAGCTATGAATGGGATGAGCATGATCTCGCTTCTTGCATTTTACTCACTGCACTGTAAGTATTTGCAGCTGTCCTCCCTTTGCTGACTCAAGCACACACTTTTATTATAAAAGATCAGTAATTCTACACAGAGTGGTTCTCATGCTCGACCTTTAATTTGTTTCTTAAGGTATAGTACAACTTACAGTGCTTAGAAAAAGGCAACACCATATGGTACCATGTCTTCACTATCACATTGTAAGGGAAATTGCTTTTTTCTTTCCTTAAAAGCACTTAAAATAGGCAAAAGTTCTAAAAGGGAGTGCTAAATGATAATGCATACTTTATTAGAAAGAAGTCTAGCCTTCCTTTAAAGTGCCGTTTGGGGAATGAAATCCTGTAAACCAGAGCCACTTTGTTTAAAATCCAATGAACGGGAACTGCTACAGAATAGAAAGTTTACACAATTCCTTAAAGCAGTCTGAAGTCACTACATGCAATTGGTTTGCTATAAAGCTCTCTAAAACTTAGTAGCTTTACTCTGAAGTTGAGTCCCCGGTCCCGTATTTAAATGGAAATAAACATTTACAGGGTGCATTTACATACACTATAATACAAGAATGATGTCCCTTTGCCAGAAGATAAAATTGTACAGTTCCTTGCCATAACTCACTTCTGACTTCATAAATTTCTTACGCTTGTAAATTATATAATATGCATCAGCTAAAATAGTTTTTTCATAAATAGTTACAAAACTTGCCAAAACACATGGGAGGAAGTTTCTTTTGTTCAAAAATCTGACATCTGAATGCCACACAACACAAGAAACAATGCTTAAAGACACGTTAAGTGTTTTCTGAAGAAAGTGGGTGAGTAAACTACTAGCTGAGGACAAAAAGACTACCCTTCCCCAAGAACACAGTGCACAAAAAGCAAAATGTCAAACAGTACCTCAAGCAAAATAAAGGTCTGAGGATTGAAGCCAGCTCACGTGTGATCCTGCTAGAGGATTTGTGACAGTCACCATTTAGGTCCGATGCATTGAAAAGTGGTTGCTGGCTTGTTTTATAGCTGAGAAATTCTGCTAAGAATTCAGCCACGGATGCCTAAGGCATTCTCCAGCTGAAGCACGTTTCTCTGGGACCATTTCTAGCATGGGGATCAGGAAATCTGTAAACTGTGCAGCGTCTTCGTGAGGCCAGCCGTACTTCTCCACAAGCACATCGAAAAGACTCCAAGGCTTCAACTTCGTAATGTGTCGCAGTTCTCCTGCAAACACAAACATTACCAGTATTAGAAAAATGCCCCTTTACCCAGTAGTGACCAATCCTTGTTTAGTTCTTCTCCAAGAAGCGCTATTTAGTAACATCAGCGCACCACGTGCCTGCTTGAGGTTCTTGCAATGAGCACAGCCAGCGTGAAACCAAGGAGGGATCCTTACACCCACACAGCACTGGGGCCAGCCTGTGTTTTCCTCTTATCTCGGAATCACAGAACATCTCGGAGGGGGGAAGGCACCACAGGGATCATTGTTCCAGCTCCTGGCTCCACCGCACAGCCCAAAATTCAACCCCTATGTCTGAGAGCACTGCTCAAACGCTCCTTGAACTCCAGCAGTTCCCAGTCCAGCGCCGTGCCCACAGCCCTGGGCAGCCCATTCCGCGCCCACCGCCCCCTGGTGCAGAGCCTTTCCCGAGCCCCTTTTCCCGCCCCTCCCCTGACGCAGCTCCATGCCGTTCCCTCGGGCCCTGCCGCTGTCACACAGAGCAGAGCTCAGCGCTGCCCCTCCGCTCCCTGTGAGGAGCTGCAGGCCTTCCTTCTGTTTCCTCCACACAAAAGCACCCCATCGCGCGCTCGCAGGCAGCAGGAATACTGAAGGCTCTGCTTTCTCATCAGCCCACACCCCTGAGTCTCACAAAAACTGCCCCAATCTTAACGCACAAGTCTCAGCAGCATGGGTCACGCTGCCATGCTACGTGACATTTGCCATCAGTGTGGCTGCAACTAGCTGCAAACCGAGCCAAACACAGAGGTCTGGCACTGAAGGCTCTGCTCCATCTCTGAGGGGCCCAGCTGACTGCTCCCACAGAACGCGGCCACCAGTGCTGCCTGCATCATCTTCAAACCCACCAGAGCATTGAGCCCCACCAAAAAGGTGGCACGTGGCCAACCTGGCAGTGTGATTCAGACCAAACGAAGGATGTGACAGCTCTTCTGCCATCAGGCTTGGCAATATACCTATGTGTATCTGCAGGCTGTCAGCACTGATGGCAAAGAAAGGCTCTTCTGGCTGCTCCTGCTCCGCTGCCACCTCCCTGCTTCCCAGGCACGTACCTGGGCCTCAGCCCCTGTGCGATGCTACAGAAACAGCTCTGTGGGCACTTTTACCCTCGTCACGATTCTGCACCTTCCCCAAACCGCTGGGGCTGCCAGTGGGTTCTCAGCCAGCACTGGAGGCTGAACACAACTCATCCACAGACTCACAGACGTGCTGTGTCATCCTGCATGGGGCACGCAAGTCACACTATTTTAAGCAGAGCGGTCTGGCAAACTGATTGCTGTCAGCAGCTGAAATCAGCCGCCTGCAACCTGCTGCCCATCATGGGCAATATGATGTCGGCTCTGAGTCCGCCTACATCCCTGTGGTCATGGAAGCTCTAGGGCAGCCAAAGACAGCCATACCCCCAGCCTGCCTCTGGGAGCCTGAGCCAACCGCTTGGCAGTGCCACGTGCCCAGCAGGGCATGTCTGCCACCTCAGCACAGCAGAAGGCTCTCCTCATGGTGCCACCTGAAAAGCAGCTCTCCAGGCACTGTCATAAAGGCTCCAACTCAGTAAGACTGCAAATGGTCAATCCCTGGCAAGAGAAAGAGAAGACTGCTACGGCAACAGAAAGTGGGATGTGCGGCCCACGGCGTGTCAGTGCCCTCCTTCTTTTTTCTGTCTAGTACGGAAGGAGGGGACTGAGACAGAGGAGGGAGAGCAGAGTGTCCTCTGGCAGTTCACATGGGGATGGTTCCAGCAGCAGTGTCTCATGAGTAGTACTGCATCACACCAAAAAAATAAAGAAAAAAGCCCGTCTTCATCCTTGTATTTAAATTATGTTGTTTTAGGCACTATATTCTCAAGGAAAAACCCGAACACATCAGAAGGCCTGGAAATCCAACGTCGCCATCCACTTTGTGAACAAAGTGCATCTGCCACAGGTATTCTCCCCTGAGCACTCCTGTATATTCTTCTTCCCATGCTCCGATGGCACAAAATGCACATCACTGCACACTGGGATGCTGGTGTTGGGTGGCTGTCACCATGACACCTGAGGTCATGCCCTTTGCATACTCCTCTTATTTTGTCATATGGGGGTTGAATTCATGAACCTGGGACCAGTGTGCTTGGGCAGCACGTGCACCACAGATGGGAGCTTCCTCCCAGAAGTTCTGTGAAGGCTGTAGAAGCTCTTAAGAGGATGGGATGCAGTAACAACAATCTCTGTGCGGTCCAGACTTTAAATGATCACTTAAGTTCCACACTGGGGATGCTGGGGGGTCCGTTCCTGCCCCATTATTTCACTGTTTTGCACATTCCTGGACCCTCTGTCCTTGATTTGCCTGTCCCAGGTAGCAGCAGCTCTTCAAACTCATTGCCCACAGGTGGGAAGTGCTGCTGTATGCCCACAGCCGCATTTCCCTGGCACTCACCCTGCTGTACAACAGCTGTTCCCAGCTTTTCCACTGCTACCACTGCTCTGAAAAAACCCAGCAGCCCCCTCTCCTCCACACTGAAGTCCTGGGCTTTCAGGCTCCCCAGTAAGGCAGCCACTGCCACTCTGCCTTCATTACCCCCACAGGACCACAGTAGCAGCCCAGCAGCTGCCACACGCAGCTCCTGTGCCCCCCCAGCCCCACACGGCCTCGTGGCCCAGCGCTGGCAGGGCAGGCCGTGGTGCTACCCCAGCACTTGACAGGGAAAGGAAGGGAAGAACACATGGAGAACGGACAAGCCCTCCCGGGTAAGAAGCATGTCTTTCAGAGCAGCCTGGCCAAGTACCGGGCGCTAACAGGCCAGCATGTTTGTTGGGTTAAAATTCTGTTCCTGCGTGCAGTGACGCACAGCTCAGCTACGGCCCACGGCAGTGGAGGCGCTCACAGCGAGAGCATGGAGCGGCCGCAGCGCTCTGTCCTCATCCACCCTCCTGCAGAGGAGGATGCAGAGGAGCTCCCCGTGCTCCGCTCTGGAGCGCTGCCCTCTCGCACACCCCGTGCCTGCAGCCTGCTGCCCTCCCTGCGCGTCAGCAGGTGCCAGCAGCACACACCGAAGGAGGGCACGGCTCTGCTCCAGCAGCTCACAGCTGTGCACAGCTGACATTTACATGGACATCTGACGACAGACTCGCACAGACATTTGTAACGCTCACATGTTGCTGAGTATGTCCCAAAAGGAATTTTAAATGAAATACTGAAACGAGTACTGCAAATTTTCACTTTCTTGAAAAATCAAGCTCACACCAGAATAATTTCCAAAGAAGAGCTCTCCATTAAGTGGAATATGTCTCCAGTACCCATAAATGCACACACTCTCCTTTTGGATAGTATTATGCTTTAAATTAGTGTTGCATAAATACCGTTACCTTTTTTGGTGAAAAACTCCTTGGAATATTTCCCCAACATAGCGTATTTTCGAGGGATTTTTCCCAGCAGTTCAATGATCAAAGCTATGTGGTCTGCATTGGAGAACATTGCCAGCAAAACAGAAACATACAACAGTTTAATCAGTACGGTGCATGCACACACCAACACGGCCCGGTACAGACAGAAATAGATTGAGCCTGGCAAAAAGACACACGCGGCGCCCCGTGGTTGTTTGGAAAGATGCTTTCGGCAAAACCTCTTTCTCTGAACCACAGCTGAGTATTGGCTGCCACGAGCAAAGTTCTGCTGCATACCTTAAGAGGTAGCCAACAGTTTTTTGTCAGGAGGTTTTGGTTTAAAAAAAGTACAATAAAAAATCAGTTTGTCACAGATTTCCGCATGTTTTGCTTTTCCAAACTAAGTTATTGCTGCACGATTTCAGAAACCGCTCCTCAGCGGGACGTGCTACCACCAGCAGCAGCAATTCCACTTCTGTCTGCATCACGGCACCTGCCAAAAAGAAGAGGTACTACCTCTGCGATTGAAGAATTCCCGAGAATATTTTCCAGATAGAGCAAAGTGCCTTGGGATATTGCCTAGCAGCTCTATGATGTGTGCTATGTGGTCTATGAGGGAGAGAAAAAAAAGGATACGGGAGTGGAAGGGGCAGGGAAAGGATGGGATAAAAAGAAGAGGAAAGAAACTGGAATTAGTAAAAAATCAGAAATAGTTTCAAATCAACAATGTTTGCAGCAAATCCATGCAGAGGTTTCCAGGATCAGCAGAGCTCTGGCATCATTAGTAGCACTTAGGAACAATGAATGATGCCCACGTTACCACTGCAAAGGGCACTTACAAGCAAACAAGCATGAGAATGGACAGGTATATAGATGGAAGCAGGAGTTAATTCTCATTTTAAAAAAATTAGTAGTCGTCTAATTCAGATAAAAATACACAATGTAAACATTATTCCAGTGCCAATCTTAGAAAATGCTACGGAGTTCAAATTCTACGCTTCTTTTCTAAACTAAGATGTTGTTATTCTCAGTCAAGTTTCCACACAAATGCAGTCTTACAAGAGGGGCAGTTTAATTCCTTCAGGCAGTTGCTAAGTAGATGAATATCTGCAGAAGGGACTTTTTGCCCACCCACTGCTACTGATGGAACTTACAACTAAAAAGAAAAAAATTGTATTTATGTTCTGAAAACAATGTGTTGCACAATTCACTCAACAACAAAAATTAAGCCCACTGTAAGCTTGCTAGAAATTTAAGAAGAAGGTGGAAATGTACAGAAACACGCAGTATCTCAAAGGGTTCATACCTTCATCTCTGGAATAGTCTTCACCAGAATGTGGTTCGAACAAATAATCTCCAGTTGCTAGCTCAAATGCCTATAATATAACATAACATAACAGACACTTTAATGGGTATTATGGAAATAAAGCTTTTAATCTTAAAACGACAGCAATACATCGATCGGAACAAAGAGGGAACCAATGCTCCAAGCCAAAGGCCTGCAGTGGGACCTGAGGCTCTGCAAGGGCTACTCACCTGGGAACCACAGGTCCTGCCGTGGAGAACAGCATGAACCTGGGCTCTGGAGGGAGCCCCACGCTCAGCACCAACCACCCCAGCAGTGCAGCCCAACACTGTCTGCCTGCACAGCCAGGGCGAATGGAGGAGCTGGGCAAGGAGTGTGGGACCACGGCCTAGCCAGCATCCTGGGCCTCAGTTGTGTTAAATGTGTGCGACAGAGGTGAGACAGGTTCTTCTAAACAGAGGGGAAGGAGCTACGCTTGTACCTGAGGGCTGATTATCTGTCAGAGATAAAAATGCCAAGGACTGAAATACAAATGTCTGCACAGGAAATAAAATTCATTTCTAACTATAATTAATGACTTCAAATTATCAAACAGGGTAACCTTCCTTGTTGACTCTAAATCTACAACAGTTTCTAAAAACGTGTTTTTTATGAATCGGAAGTCATCAAAGTAAGTACTGCGATTGTGGGGTAAATAAAACACCAAGGCTCACACTGATGAAGGAAATCAGAACAGACCGATCCCTTTGGGTCCCTGCGGTGCTCCCATGGGATGCAAACCCTGCAATAGGTCAAGACAAAACCTACGGGCAGCATTTCTACTTATGAGCAGAGTTTCTCCTTTCAGATGTAACGCGAATTAAAAGCCTCAAAGGAATAAAATACTGATGGGAGCCTGTACTCGTGTACAAACATGGACCTGATTTGTCAAGCGATTCTCTTTCTGCTCACCAACTACCCAGGCAGCCACAGGAATCTAATTCTTTCCAGGTGGTGTAAATACCAAGCTGCTTTCCATCTCCAAGACCAGCAAAACCATTCCAAAAATCAGACAGAGCTTGCTGGCACAGCTTTATAAAGGAATTTCACTCGGTCAGAACATTTACTATAAAATACTTGTTTCCTGAAAATATACACTTTTCTGTTCCAATCCATGATCTGGAGTTGTTGAATCACCTGTAAATTTAACCTACTTATGGGCACTTGACTTTTTCAAGCTGTGAACTGCAGAGTGATCCAAGTGGGCTACAGCCAGAACAATTCAGTGCCATCTCACACAGTGGTTGAGAAAGCAAAAATACCCTTTGCTGACATTTTTGTTGATCCTACAAATGTCTTTCATTTCTGAACACATTACCACTCACAAACAGTCATTCATATTTTTTCTTATTCTACTCTGAGTTCAAGATTGGGAGTTTTATTTTACAGCTTAAAAAAAATAAACTGAGAGACTTCATAAATTATTATCAGCTATTTAAACTGAAGACATTTTTAGGATAGCAAGGAGCTACACATGGTCAACCCAACACGGCCAACCCAACATTGTTACTCTCTCAAGATGAGACTGAGAAGCCACAAGTGTCCCCTCTGCAGCCAAGAGAAATACATCCATTTAAAAACCAGAGCTAACTTTCTCAGCACACATGCAGAAGGAGCTGATTTCTGAGGGCGTTAAGAAACTTCTCTCTCTTTAACACAGATTCCTAGAGAACAATGTAAATGTAGCTGAATTTAGTCACAAAGGTGAACTGCAAAGGAATACTGCTTCTGTCCCAGAAAATGAAGTATTAATAGTTCAAAATGTCTGCGTGGGATTAAAATGATTAAATTGGAAAAACTGTAAAAACGTTTCAGAGAGAAGCATAAGCAGCAAGCATTCCACAGCAGCACACAGAATTTTAGATCAGATGCTATTTAACGAGAGCTGCAAGCCCTCACAGATTTAGGATATTTATACCACTCTCCTGCTGAAGAGAAAATAAAGCTTTTCAAAATTGTGATGCTGTTCCCCTCTTTCTGTTGCTGTACAGCTTTGACTCCATGCCCGGGATGGGTGCAACCTCAGACATTTCAGTTTGTGACCCTCCTTACAGGCCTCTGCACCAAAACCGTAACAACTCCTGAGTCAGACACGCAGGGACAGCCCAGAGACAGCCTTGCCCTCTGGGTGCTGCAATAAATACCTGCAACAACACTCTTAGCATTTGTGCAGGAAAACACCTCACATCTGGAACCAGCGGGCAATAGGTTCCTAGAGCCCTGCAGGGCAACAGCCAGTTCACGTACGATAGATGGCATTCCCAAGACTTCCTTTAAAGGAGAATAAATCCTTGACTGAGGTTTTTACCATAAAGTAAGCAAAACAGAGTCAGCATGAAAAGCATGCAGGTAAACAGCTGAAAGGAAAACGAAACCTCTGGGTGATAACAGCCAGAGTTCCCCTTTTTAAGCTCATGTCCACAGTGGGTGCACCCAGCAGTGCGTGCAATCACTGATAAGTGCCACCCAAAGAGCAGCTGGGATTCAGGACCCTGCCTCTGGCAGTACTCAGGTGCTCTGTAGGCACTGAGCACTTTTCAGTACTTTACACCCAACGGCAGGTACAGAGAACCACCCAATTCATAACTGGGTGTCAATCTGTGATACAATCAGGACCCAGAGACCTGGCAGATGGTAAGAAGAGCTGAGGATGGCAGAGCACTCAGGGAATGCTGCAGGCTGAGCATGTGCAGTGCTGCAGTAACAAACACATTACCAGCACAGGGCAGAAAGGATTATTCCCCTCTTCTCAGCACTCACACCCACATCTGGAGACCTGTGACCAGCCTGGGAACACCAGCACAGGAGAGAATCCAGAAAGATCAGGGGAAAACCTCTGAGATGGAAGGCAAAGGGGGGATTTACTTGTACTCCATTTCCTGAAAGGCAATGATTGAAAAGAAAGGTACAGTGAAAGGACAACAGGGAATAGAAACAGGTGGCAATATGGGAAATTCCAACAGGACAGAAGGAAGAAGTCCTATGAAGAAACTGGCAGTGCACTGGGATGGGCTGCCTAGAAAGGCTGTGGAAATGCCACCTGGCCAGATACGTGACACGCAATGGGATGAGGCTCTGAACAACCTGATGTAGCCTTGACATTCAGCATGGTTCAAGCAGGAGCCAAGCAGACCACTGAACCTCAGGAGGTCCCTTCCAAACACAATACGCCTATCATTTCTATGGTCCTGCAAATGCAAGCTAGCCATACTAATGTAATTACTTTCCTTTTCAAAATATTCATTTTTTAATACTACATTTTTTGACAAAAACTCAAAACTTTGAATTATCATCCTTTTTTTCTTAATGTTGACATTTACCTCAACAGAAATCAGCACTGCAACTATTATATGTAGATAACAAATGAGACAAAGCACACTTAACATATGGCACAAAAGCCCAAGGCAATCAGCCCTCCTTGCTGACTGCATTGGCAACTGCTACTCGCCACTTTTCTAAGGTTATCACGGGGAAACAGTCTAGACTGTTTCTCACCATCTGCAGATGGAGAACATTTCAGATAAATGGTCACCCTGCTGCTTTTGTAGGCTCCGGAGAGGCTGCGATTCCTTCCCTGCCATGTGGCTGTATATGAACCCACCACAATACTGAATTGTTGGCACTGCTATCGCACATTATGGATCCGTGTCTAATCACACAATTGGAAATAGCTACATTTTCAGTGTATGACAGCTGTGTACTCAATCTGGTGATTGAAAATGGCTGCATGCCTCGGGAAAGATGTCTGGGAGAGAACTAGAAGAATAATTCACTTGGCTTTCACCAGGCTCCCTGAATTTCTCTTATGAAGCCCCAGCTGAAAAAGGACAACAAACTACAGGCCAGGATTATGATTTCGTCAGACAAGATCCAGCTCTTGGACAGAGTTTCAGCCGAAGTGAAGAGCTGTGAATGAGAAGACTTGCTACTTTAAAAACAGGCTTAGATTTAAAAATGCTCTTCCACAGGTATGTGGGAGCATGGAAACAAAACAAAACAGAACAACAAAAAAAGAGCAACAAGAGAGACAAGCACACCAGATAACAGTTTGCTCTCCCATGAACATCTTACTCTGAATATCCAGGCAGTGAAAAAATATAAAAGGGATTTTGCACGGTTGCTGCTTGATAAGAAAGGCCAGACACACAAAACACAGACATGCAAGGGATGCTTAAGGAGGAAATAGTTTTCTGTTCTTTGATAAAACTCCAGTCTCAGAATCATGCAAATGCTGAGTGGCTGCTCTGGAAACTCAGTTCCTTTGAAAAACCACTTTCTTCTGAATGTTTCAGGTTGTCCACCCACCACCTTCAAAGCAAAAGGGTGTACAGTGATTAATAACAGCATTTTGTACTGTATCTGCCTACTGAAAAATATGTGCATAGTGACTTGAAGCTTTTCTTATCTCTGGCATTTCTTGTTTTCCATGTTTCTGCTTCTGTGCAGACCGCACATGCCATCACGCCTACGGCACTGCGCTGCTCACACATCGTGGCTGCAGTGGTACTCGTGGCCCTGCGATGGCACGGCTGATTCCTCCTGCTGACAACACAACACAAAGAGCAGGTAAGCACAGCTCTCTCCACGTCACAGGGCACGATACAAAGAATTAAGCAAGGGGCTGAACAACAAGCATTTACATGTAACATCACAAGCTTGCTTCATATCATGCTCTGCTCCTTCTTCCTTCTGTCCTCAGAGCTCTCTCATATGAATAGAATGGCTCACAAAAAAAACAACCAACCTGTAAGCTCGCTTGCCTGGTACCACAAGCTGTAATAGCATTCTCTCTTATTATGAAAGCTGTTTGCCTGCCCTCTTCTTCATCTCATCCTGGTAGTATTTCCTTTAATCATTTGTATTCTCTTTGGATAGAAAAAACAGCAAGTACAATTCTCTCCTTCTCTGACTTCCTGCCCATCTACAACTGTGACCTATTAGCTGCTTCTCATTTTAAAAACAAGATATTTCAGGAACCACAACTCACCAGGAAGCCAGCTCAGACGTGTTTTAGAAACATATTGTCTTGTT